TTCTTCCAGGCAATCATGGGATGGAGAGAGAGAGATAACAATTTATGAAGACAGGGGTGTAAATTTTATCAATAACATTAAAAAGAAAATATGATCAAATAATAATCTTAATTAAAAAATTATAATTATGAATATTTTTTTTCTGACATAAGTATTACTCACTTTTTTATTTGGAGATTATAATATTATAAAGGATTATTACATCATATCATCATGTTTAAAGGATTGTTAAACAGGTAAATATACTGTTTATAAGATTTTATTCTGAATTATTTTTAATTTAAAAAAATTACATAAAATTGAGCTTAGCCGCAGCTCAGTTTTATGTAACATTTGAAATAACATGAGGCTTTCTGTAACCATATATTAAGTTGCGTGCAAGATAAATGTTCAGCCTAATTAGTATTACCTACATGAAAAATACATATTCTACTGTTTTTGACACAAAGTTAAAACCAACCACCAATTTTAACCCAAAGAAAACTGTCATACGCTATGATGGGTTACAATTTAGAACAAAAAAAATAAGCCTGTGAATCAGGAGCTCTTGTTCAATTTTGCAGGAATTTATATGTGTAAGTTCTTTTATATCAGTTGAAACTTGTACTTAATTTGCTCATAGTCAGCATGGATGACAGCTGCGAGCAGATCTATGCAACTACAAGAATTTAATTTGTATACAACTTAATGTGAAAGATATGTCAAATCATTAATAATTTTCTCTGATCTTACTTATAATATCTAGTCAATAATGACATTTCTAATGGGTTTCCATAACAAACATTGTTTTAAATTTAATCTTGTATAGATTTTCCACAGTATATATTATGTTGCCTTGCTTGATTCGGTGTACAGATGTAGGTATAGCCAGATTTCGAAAGATATTGGATTCATTTCATCATCAATAATTCTCTCTTAAATGTCTACTTTGAGTCGACTATCGTTTATCTTCTTCACTATGTTATTGATACGTATGAATATTTATTTTCAATCGAAAACTTCTTCTTTTATTAAGGGCTTTCGCATAATTCTGCCAATTTCACGTGCGTAGCCAATACATGGTATGAATTATTTTATAAAATTAATTTTGTAAATAATATTTTCAAGTATAATGTTTCACTTTCTATTACAGTTTAATATTACAAAAAAATACACATATGCGGATTGTTTTAGTAGATATCCCATATTAAATTGTCATTTACAATTCAATTTTGTCAATTTCATTCTTCTTTTATTAATGGTATATCTGCGCATTTCACACAATTCTGCCAAAGTCAAGTGAATAAATTAATTTCTACATGTAAAATGAAAAAGTAATGAATGAAAGATTAATTAAAACATTGTCTGTATCATTGTGGTTTGTATTGACTGACAAAAAGTGAATTGGTGTTGCAATATGAAAATCAAACATCGATTGGAAAATAATCGATTAATTCACTATATGTAATAGAACTGCAGTAACATTTATTGAATAAAAAAAACTTTAATATACTTTTAGTTAATTTTGGTGCAATTTTGCATTTTTCCTAAGTTTTACGGACTACTACGGTTGTTGATTCAACAATGCCCAAATAAATAAATATATATATATTATTATTATTATGTAATTTCCAATGCCCGTAATTGGAAATGTTATATGAAAACCTAATGAAGTTACTAAAGTCATATGCAATCATCATTTAACTTTAACATTTAATTTTTAGTACAAACAAATATATAAATTTAATGATTATTTTTGTTGTACAACAAAAATAATCATTTGAAACGGAGTTGTTTAAAGTAAAGCATACACCTCTGGATTAATGCTCGTCCTAGTCTTGGACTGATTGCATACCTCACTTATTACAGTTTGTTAGTGACCGAAAATGAGTCAAAACTTTTCTGTTCACGACCTACCTATGTAGGTACCGTTTTATTTTACGGAATCATATTATTCACTTTCATGCTACTTTATCTCACGTAATAACATTTATTTTGCGAATTAAAACTCGGTATAAACAATAAAATAAACCAACACCACTCGAATTTTGAAACTTAACTCTTTAAGCTTGACGTTATCTTTAGTCGACGCCAGGATTTATAGTATTTCATCTGACTTTTTTGTTAATTAAAAGACTTAATTATATCGGATTTATGCTTTAAATATTAAGCATGTTTAAAGTTGAGTGCTTAATAAAAGTTAGAATTGGGTATATGACGATTTTCTGAAAACTAATTAATTAAAATAGTTGTTTGATACATTATAAACACACTGTCAATATATTACATGAGAATCTGTTCTATTTTCGATGAATATAATTGTTTAAATCTACAGATTCTAAGAAATAAACTTTTATTAGATTATTATCTAACATGATGATAATAGTACGAAACTTATTTTTATAGTGTCAAATACCCATAATGATAAAAATATTAATTATAAATTCGCGTTTTGGGTATTTTCCCTTATAGCTTAACACTTAGGTATGCACTTTCTTAATGTAGCTAATATTCGGGTGTTTCGTCCGTATTTTAAAACGTTCGAATAAGAATATAATAGATTCATTACGTACAGAAATGATAAAAAAATGAAGGAATGAATAATCATTAATCGTCTCCCGTTTAACTAATAATTTCATTTATTTTATTCTGGTAACACTAATGACAGCTGTTTGGTTCGGCTGCGATTTGGCTCCGATTACGTTTCAGTTTAGTAAACGTTCGTTTGATAATTTACGTTAGCGGAATGCAAATTTACAGCAAAAATCGAAACGTAACCGTTATAGAAACGCTATTGATGATCGATCGTTGTAAATTAGTAGAATTGGCCCCCTGGTCCCAGCATATTATAGAGTACCAGTCTAATAGGATTTCTTTTATTTTTGGGATATTCAAGGAAAGAACGCCCAAATAGGTTGTAGTTAAATGAAAACTACATCATATATCTAATTGTAATTTCAAAACGTGAATTGATAAAAACTCCATAGAAAAAAAGCAAAGCTATCTCTCAAATTCACAATTTACCCTTTTATATAGGGAAAATGGATAAATCCATGAGTCACTTTGTAGAGGGAATTGTGCAGAACTTATACTATGATAGTAATAGTTTGCGAATAATTAATTAAAAACAGTTTTTGCCACATAATTTGTCATCCTCTGTCTATCTATCTCAATGTCGGGTGTGATGTGATAGTCTGAGATAGTCTTTTAGTTTTTCACTTTCTCCAAATAGGGTGCACATTACCGAACATATTACGGTCGACGGGAAAATATCTGTGTACATTTGATGAATGATAATTATGAAATCAAATCAATCAGGATGTTACAAGCACTTGTGAACTCGAAACTTTATGCCATCGGTTCGTAAACCTACGGCGACCTTGTAAATAGAGGAACCAGAAAGAAACTCGGCAAGGGCTGGCATTTTCTCCCTGTTTAATTTCATACAGAGTCGTCAAGATTAAAACTGGCTTCATTAAATAAGGAGTCACTTTCCATCACAATGTTAGAAAATATATAAAAAGCCAAAAAATTACATTTTTTTCACTCGTCACTCGATGCTAATTCAAACCATGCTCACCGATAAGTATAATTAAACAAAGTGGACAAGACAAATGAGTAGCTCGGTGGCGTAATGGATAAACGCCGCTGCCCGCGATCGTTGTCGTTAAGCAACTTTCGCAAGTGTCGGTCACGGGATGGGTGACCAAAAAAAAAAAATTATCTCGAGCTACTCCGTGCTTCGGAAGGCACGTTAAGCCGTTGGTCCCGGCTGCATTTGCAGTCTTTAATACCCTCCGATCCGCATTGGGCCAGCGTGGAGGGTCATGGCCCATCCTCCTTAACCATCTATAAGGAAGGCCTGAGCCCCTGCAGTGGGGTCGTAAAAGGGCTGATGATGATGACGATGAACAGGAATAAGGATTCTAGATCAGACACATCTTTTTTAGTAGCAGCCGTTCATGAGCATGACTTTTTAGAGGCTATTACTGTAGTTCTAGTGGTGACTACAATTCCATATAGGAACTGCATAGTCTTATAAGTAGGTACAACAAATAAGGGCTCGTCCGTCGTCGCATCGGACTCCGTGGTTCCCGATAGCGTCTGTAGTTGTTAATGCCCATTAATTGTATTATGATCATCTCATCTTATATGATTATATCGAAATGGAAGGCCTACAGTGTGGGCCAGTATAAAATAATGAAAACTAAGTTATAAATTACTAAAATTCTACTTACTTTATTACTTAAAAATGTGTGTATTTCTTTTCAGGTCCAGTACAAAAGTTAAAGAATAAGTTAAAAGGCATTAACAGTTTGAAAGAAGAGAAGAATACGCCACATACTGACGTGGACACAGAAGTAGGAATAGAAGCAGTTGCTACTCATACAAGAAGGGACGCAGTTGCAGAAGTGTGAAATACCAAAGATATAACCATAAAATTATGTTGTTTAAACGACACGACTCTCATATAATAAAATATTATATAAAGTATAATAAAAATGAAATTTTGTGTATTAGAATCAATGATATTAATATAGAACTCGAATCTTAAATAAATAAACCTTTTCTAAAGATAAAACGCCTAGATTTTTTTAAGCAGCAACAATACATAGTCTGTATGAGTTGCTTAGTTATTTCTGCAGCGGTAAACTGGTTAAAGTTGTGTAACTTAAGTAATTGATAAGTAGGTAGGTACATAGCATGATTATTTATTTTTATAAGATAAAAAAATGAATGACAATTGACAAACGTCACTCATGTGTGAGTTAGCCAAATTTACATGCAGTCTACGCACAAAATTTCAATAAATTCAACTTAGGTAGAGTTAAATAAATAAATGTTGTGTCAGCAAAGTTCAGTACGCGTTGCTTCGTCATGCGACGCTGACGCGCATCAAAAACGTGTTAATTTAAAAAAAGCGTTCCATTTACGAGAATCATAAAAATTTCGCGCCTTTTTTATTTTCCGCAGATAACTTTTTAAATAATCGACCAAGGCGTGCGTTTGAAAGGACAACCATGTTTTTTTTTACGATAGTTGTGGTTTTAGCATTAGTTGGTTTCCTTGCCTTGACCCTCCTCGCTGTAGATTCCTTATGGAGTGTCCTGGAAATGGTGTCATCGTACTTGATGCCATATTTCTTGCCATCTGAAGTGGAGACTCTTACAAAGAAATTTGGACCTTGGGCTGGTGAGTATCAAAATTTATTGTCCCATTCGTAAGCGTTAATTAATAATATTATATGTAAATAGAAGTCACAATTAAGTGCAATACTATGAAGCACCTTTGATAGTGAAAAAAATTGTATGGTCAACTGTGCTTTATTATCAAACTTATGTTATTCTCGAGCACCTGCAACTGGAGATATTTTAAGAATTTATCTATAAGATCAAAAATTTATCGTGAATTAAAAAAATATATGAACGTAATAATGTTTTGAAGTATACCTTTTTATATATCAAAATAAAATGGAGTTTACTACCGTGAAAAACGCCTTCAATAATATTTGATGTAAATAACCTACAACTGGTTGTGTGTAATATTTAGAGATAACAACTTCATTGCCATTGACAATAATCACCAGAGGTACGAGTGTCGGCGTTGCCTACTATCCTACTTTGTTAAAACTATTACATAAATTCGGTGAGAGATGTTGGAACGCTTTCGAATTCATCGTTCATGTCTTTGCGTAAGAACAAACGAATATTATTAACTTAATATGTTGGCCATTGTTAAGTCATCTAAAAATAGAATAATTAACATATTCATTATTGATTTTACTGACCGTATGATAATTACCTATGTCAATATAAATCTATTGACAATATGTAATACAAAGCTCTCAAATATTGTTCATGCCAGGTTCTTTAATATAAATAAATGATAGTTCATCAAAAACATACACGTGTCGTGAGAGAAGATTCTAGTACCAAAAATTATATTAAAAGGGTTTTATTATTTTTTACTTTTTTTGAATAAATATTACAAAGTAAAAAAGAATAAACCCTTTTAATACGTATTAATAATTATAAAAATATAACGTCACGTCGGAGGACGTAATATTTTTAGAATTATTAATTATCATATTATTTTTTACATTTTAAGGGGAACTTCAGTTTTTGTGTCGGGGTTTTTTATTTTGAATTTTATACTTATTATAGGTACATACTTATTATAATGTAGATTCTATTATATTAAAGGTAAAGATTACATTTTGCACTTTTATTGTGCGCTTTAATTTTACTTATTAATAGCTGTTTTTGTTTCTATAACTAATAATTGTTACTTAATGTTTATATTAGTGTTCAACTTTTTAATATCATAATTTTCTTATCAACCGAAGCTAAGAAAATTCTTGATTAACTCATCAATATTCTTTTTCAGTGCGCTTTCATTTGAAACCCCACTCGAGTATATTTGCAGACATTCGGTTATTCTTCCCCACTTTAAGCCCCCACAACTTTTAAACTTTTCATCAAACATGTCTAAGAAAACTCGCACATACGTCACCTTTAATTCTAAATTGAAATCGGTTCATCCGTTCGGGAACTATGATGCCACAGACAGACATACACATAGCCACGTCAAACTAATAACACCGCTCTTTTTGCATCGCGGGGGTTAAATATTGTAGGTTTATTTATACTTGATAGATGATCTAGCTAGATCCTGGACTAATTCTACTAACGCTTGTAATAAGTGTAATATATTTATATCTGAGTACGTATATAACTATTTATGATGTGTAATAGTTTGTGATACATAATTATGCAATGAATCTATTTCGATTTCAATTTTCGTATTGTATTTAGATGTATCTATATTCATGTAATTTTGTTTTATATAGAACCGCCTTTTTTGAAACGCAAATAAATTATTATTACTTAGAGACAACACCAAGATTATAACACAGTTTATTTTATATTTTTTTTCTATAAAGAATAATCCATCCTTATTGCCATTTTGTTAATTGCTTGAATAGGTAGTTTTCAGCGTATATTACTTACCTAATTTAGAGCGAAGTCATCATTTCCCTGCCCTTATCCCAATTTTATTTGGGGTCGGCGCAGCATGTCTTTTTCATCCATATCTCCCTATCTGACGTCATCTCACTAGTAACTTCCTTTCTCACTATATCGTCTTTCACAATTTAGAGCGAAGTATGCCTAACAATTTTTTCATAATGTGTCAATGTGTCGTGTCCGACGATGTAAACTTATGTAGTAAATATATAAATCTATTGCTAGCTGTTTTACCGCAAATTCCCCCTGTAATTTATAGCCAATATCACCCGCGTACGATGAAGAATTTTGATGATCGGATCAGTGTTTACAAAGATTATTTGTAGAGGACAAACAACCAAAGTTAGAACCTTTACTATTTTAGTATATAGATAAGGAAACATTAGCAATGTTATGGGGTACTCACGTTTAGAACACAATCGATTCATAAAAGACTAGCTGATTAGTTTTTATGGAAAAATACTGAAATTGGGATGTTTGATGCAGTGTCGTGTCACGATTGTTGTCTACTACGAATGAGTTATTCCATTAATAGATACTATATATAACATTTAAGTAGTTAATTATTAATGATAATTTAATACAAAAAACTCCACGAAGTTATTGCAATAATTTTTGACGATTAAAATTAATCTGTAATAGAAGAATTTTGTCAGATAAGGCATGGCGGTTAAGCCGCTTATGCCATCAGGCATCAAGCATAACAATTAAGAGTGGTATTATTATAATTAGGGAATGCAATTTCGCGAGATTGGGACTCGGGCGAGATCTCGCCTATTACGAGATCTCGCGAGATTGGCACTTTTGTGTGTTTACTGTAATATTTATTCAAATCACAATATCTGAATAAATTAGGTAAAAATACAGGAATTACACGTATTATGAAATAAACATTTATTTATACGGATATTTTCAATAAAGTTTTATATATTCAACATTGTTTGACGCCGATGTGTTTTTTATCTAAAACCTTTGAAAGAGCAATTACTGAACTATAATCTCGAAAAGACAATTTTCAAGACATTAAGTATGTAGAACCCCTACGCCCCCCTGTACCCCCCTCTACCTACCCCTAGAGGCGATAAATCGATTTAGTTAGGTTTGATTTTTGATTTTATAAAAGTGCCAAGAAAAGCTTAGTCATCCGGGTACCAATCTTTTAAGAAACTAAACTTTGCCGTATCTAATCAAATACGAAATTAAACAAACAACCAGTCTTCTCTGCTAATATCAATCAAAAGTTAAATTATAATACACATTTTTTTTATAACAAAAATACTTACAAAAACTAAAATATACTCACTAACTAACTTGAATTGACTATTAAACTGATTGTGAGGTTATTATCAAAGAAAAAAAACTATGTGTACCCAGAGATCTTACAAAAAAACAATAAATTAGAAATAACAGAATAAATTAACAAACTATACCAATCGATTTAAAGGCTTATTCATTGCACTTCATACGTCATTATCCTATCAATATTATAAAATATATAATGTGAAAGTAGCTTCTTAAGTAGCACAAAATGTCCAAAGAATCTTTGCTATTCGTCTTATTATTGTGCTGGCCAGATAACCAGCAATGAAAATACCCTTTCGAAAACACAAGTACTGTAAAAGTGTAAAACTTTGCATTTTAAACCCCCGGACTCGTATAAATTTAAGCTGCTGCACTTAGAATAAATCGTTTTATGCTGGAATGCAATTTTGTTAAACTCGTGAGATCTCGCCCATTTTCAAAAAAGATCAATCTCGCTAAAAAGGCTGACATCTTGCAAGAACGAGGTTTCTAACCCTAATTATAATATGTGTTATAAATGACTATATTTGATCATTTCAATATATTCATTCAATCTTTTTTTTTCCACTAACTTCTACAGGGATGACGACTGGGTAAGGAAAATGCAATTCTATTTAGTCCGTCAGTCAGATAATAGAAAAATATTAGATACGTATTTTTTTTTTACTTCAATTTAACAAGAAATAGCTTAGATAACAGGCATTAAAGTTAAGGAGTGGGGGCTCGCTACGTCACAGTTTAGTAGAAAACGTACCATAACGTGACGTCATGCGAAATTTCAACTCCATGTAACACTGTAATTTTATGATTGCAAAAAAAATAAAAAAATACGTGTGTAATATTTTTTAATACTCTACCTGACGGACAAACAAACAAAAATTAGTCGTCATCCCTATTTCATTAGAGAAAACTCTGAATTTAAAAAACTCTTATGTTATTTTATTTACCTGTAAAATACCGAATAGTTTGGATTTTATTTCCTGTCCAATAAATTATTAATTTACTTGTATAATATAATTTACTAGTCGTTATAATATATGTATAATAATAATTTACTGCACTTTGATTTTATTACTTGTTTAAATTAAATGTACAACCACATCTTTAAATTAATGTCACATACCATAGTTTATAGTTATGCTTTAATGTAAAAAAACATCGTTGAACTCGATGTCGAGAAATGCTGACACTAGTATAACTGTATTGAGTTTACTTTCGATTTTATTGGAGGAACCGAAAGTGGTCATGGTCAATTTTCCACGTTCGTCTCGGCGAAAGTACTGTGGTAGTGACTTCAATCACCACCTGTTTTGGACAACTGCCGTCATCAGTAGGGAATATTTATAAATTTCATTTTGAGTCTTTGGTCCACCAATTTACATCTAAATCCCATCAGCTTGTATTTATTTCAAAAGTTTAGTAATGTTTGCTAACTTTTAGGTCAAAATATATGTAGCTAAAAAAGCCTGCGTGCAAAGTTTTTTGTAAAGACAAAATATCTGTGAAATTAAAATTAGTTTCACAAAATTTCGTCTTATTATAACAGAGCGCTGTAATCAAAGAAATCCACTGTATCCTTCAACAGTCATTGCTTCATGTATATTTGGGTCTTTTTCTAGGGCTTGTTCTGAGAAGATCCGGCAAGAACCCCAGTTCTTGCCGGATCTTCTCAGAACAAGGTCTGCCGCCGTAGATTTACGAACCGATGGTATAGTGTGCTTGTTACAGCCTAGACCGAATAAATGATTTTGATTTGATATAATTTGTTGACCCAAGAGGACACCGCGTTGAACCTTAAGCTGTACTATGTAACTAACGATGCGTCGTATCAAATATATCGTTCATCTTGTGCTTTTTACATACAAA